CCCCAAGGCCTAAAGAGGGGCCACTCGCCAGTTTTCTGTGTTGGTCGCACAAATAAAGACGATTTGCACAATAGCAAGCCAAGAGGCCAAACTCTGATAAATATTAGTCAGACATTAGTTTGAGGCGACAATTTTTGACAAATCTAACAGCCGAACGGCCACGAGTACTATCACACGTGCACTTGCTAGTTATCTCTGTTGTTCTCATGACAAAAAGGCAACTACTTCCCGCTTCCCGAGATTCGCCAGTTGCCTGTGTTAGTCATACAATCTCAAACGAAGTAGCATCTAGGCTAAAGTGAGATGCACAGGCGGGGAACGACTGGACAGGGATTCCCTAATTGGTAACGTGGATGGCATGAAGATAAAAGAAAATGTGTACGCTAGCAGGAAAAGATAGCTATATAATGACACTACCTAAATACAAGGTGCAGTGAAGGTAACACCGAGAGCCGTGAGCCCCGAGAAGACGTGCCTTGTAGCCATATGGCAGAAAAAGAAGCGAGAACAATCAAAGAAACTAACCGGATATGTTGCTTTGGTGGGGCTCACCTGGGTGGCACCCTCGCCCGACGGTTGCACGGCCGGTACTGTTGGCTGGTTTGGCGCTGAGGGGGCCGAAGAGCCCGGGGCAACTGTGGATGGAGGACTTGTGCTAGTGCTGCCATTACTTCCACTGATGAGTTCGGCTACGTCGGAGCAAGGGGTTTGCGGAGTTTGAGACATTTATGTCAGAGGCCAAAACGTGTGTCTGTCTTCAACGGGGTGTTGAGAAAAGAGACGATATCCTGTTGTGAGATAATATCTTTCCCAGTGCGCATGAGTCAGGATAGTGACTATGCTTCGTCTGGAAGAACGTGACTTTGGACACGCTTTGGGAGCTTGTACATTCTATACCTCACCACTTAGAAAATGTCAGAAAATATACAAGAAGACATTCTGTTTACTAATATTTCAGTTATTCAATGTTAAATGAATAATGAATAACATACTAAGTTTAACAAAAGGATTTTTGTTAATAATTAGTGAAATTTAAGCGAATAAAAAATCAGAACGAACGAACCTTTGAAACACCCTGTATGGCCAACATGAAGCTAGAAATGATGTTTGGTGATGTTTTCGAGTGGTGGGAAGGTCATTTTGACCATATGTGGAGATTTTCTGTCTATGAGCTCTCTTAACATTATGAAGCAAGTTTCAGAGCATGGAACTGGTTTCCTGGTCCCCCCCTCACGTTGCTGTTGGAAAGTGAGGGTATTACTCTGAGACTCGATAGTGCTAAGCACTACCAAAAGCCATTCAGACGGTCTCATTAAGGCACCACCTTAACTCGTTGTAGCCAGGATCATCATTAGTATGATTCTTTGCTTTGTTTGATTGTGTTTTAAATTTTTTTAAGAACTCACTGTGTTTACAGTAACAACTCATTGTATTTACAGCATTTGAAAAACAGAAACTAGTTACAACAACGGACTTGAGCAATGGCCAATCCCTCACCCCGGTAGTGAGGGCCCGATGGTCATATAACATCTTTGTTATGGGCAGAGACATAAAATCTTTTTTTCTCTTCATGGTCTATCTGCTTTCTTATCAACTGAACGTTTGTATAACCCTAACTCTATAAAATGGAAACGTTGTTTCGACATTCAAATGGTAAGAATCCTTGGCCAACAGTTTCTACCGCTAATATCCTAACCCTAACATTACCAACTAGACAGTTTTTATTTGTTACGTCTCAAATTTGGGTAGCCGCTATCTTGAATTTTTCCAAAGGGGTTAATGTGTGATTTTGGGTAAAAACTTCAACTTCTTTAAAGTTTGTCTATGGGCAAATTGGACCTGGAAATGATGTTTGGTGATGTTCTTGAGAGGTGAGGTCATCTTCACCATGTTTGGAGGAAAGGAATGCTTGTTTGGTTTTCTGGTCCCCCCCTCACGTTGTTGTTTACCAGTGAGGGTGTTAGTCTAAGACTTCATAGTGCTAAGCGCTACCAGAAGCCATTCAGAGGGTCTCATCAAGGCACCACCTTGACTCAATATAGCCAGGATCGCATTACATTGCTTGCACACCTGGTGCTCTTAGGGACACTCCGCAAGGGTTGGTTACCTCAGCTCGTGTTCTGTCCCCGACGAGAGTTTACAGGAGGCCAACTTTATTAACATATATAACACAACACAACACAACAGCTCGACCACCAGCAAGTCCCTTGCCTCGGTGATCCATAACAGAAATTTTCCGGGACATGAGAACAATTTTTTAATTTTTTTTATGTTTTTGTTGCCAAACTAACGAGCAAAGATGGTGATGATGATGTTGATGATGATGGTATACCAGGTCGCTGACTTCTGTTTTGGGCGTCCAGCCTTTTAACAGCTTGACCACCAGCAAGTCCTTTGCCCCGGTGACAAAGGCCAGGTGATCAACAGAAATTTTCCAGGACATGAAAACAAATTTTTTTCTTAGGTTTTTCGTCTCTTAAATGTTTTTCTTGTATTTTCTTTGCTATGTTCTTTTTTGTTCTGGGGGTCCTACTAACCCTGTCCCTATTTCTTTTCCAACTTCTTCCATTCGTTCTTCAACTTATCCTGACATCTTTAGAGACCGTTTCACATGAGAATGTCCTTCAGGTTGTCTTTTTTGTTCAAGAACCACTTTGCTGCCACCTTTTCGGACATGTTTTCTCCTTTTTTAAGTTTTCTTTGTGTTTTTTGTGTCCTCTTCTGACCACTCTTGTCTATTGCCAGTTTCTACCTCCTTTCTTTCAATATCGTACTCGTTCACTTGGGAGATTGCAGCCTGAACAGCTCGATATTTTGAGGTCGCAGGAATCCATTGTGGACGACTTTCACTTTCACTTTCACCATGTGCCTCGGACTTGGATTTTGTTTGGCATCAACACACCCTGTCAGCAACTTTCACATCCATTCCATGAATTGTCAGGAGGTGTTGCAGCTTCGTGCTGTTTTTAAGTTTGCCTCTCACTGCCTCCACTGTCACTTTTTGATGGGATTTTATCATGTCTTTGAAGACTTGTCCAATGTCCGACTTTTCCAGGTCATTTAGTGGACGTTTCTGTTGGTTAGGGTTAGTGTTACTTTGTGCAGAAGGTTTAGGGTTAGGATTAGTTGCTGGCATTGCAGCAGGCTGTGCTGAAACAGATGAAACTTCTGATGGCACAGGTATCATGTTATGGTCCGGACCTGCACTTGGGCTAGTCTCATAAGACATGTCAGCAGCCTCTACTGGCACAGATGTAGTGTCTGACGTCACAGGCATCACAATAGGGTCAGGTCCTTCACACGGGCTATGGCTCCCTATCGATGTTGGTTGGTCAGAAGTTTCAGCCGTTCTTATGTTATCAGGCTATTCTGCCACAGGCATTAGGGCTGACTTCACAGGAGTCTCTTTGGGCTTCTTGGAGGTGCACATTGCGATGATTTCTACAGCTTGTGCTGCCACAGATGTGAGGTCTGACCTAAGGTAAAAGGACTTGACAGTTTTATCTGAGTGGCAAAGACCTTGCCTTACAATATCCTTGTCAAACTTCACCCCTCTGGTCTTCTTCTCGTGGCAGGTGATGACAATCCATTTTCGGATATTCGTCGCTGTTACCCTTAGGTCAGACCTCACCCCCAATCTACTCCAAAGCTCTGGTAGTCTTGTGCAAAGGGTCCCCTTTGTGAAGGCAAGTCCCTCGCTTGTCACAAACAGGTTTGCACAGTAGTCACCAAACTTCGGACAGATCTTTTGTGCGTAGATCTTGAAGAACTCTTCGAGTTTGTTTTAAAAACCAATGAGTGCTGGGACAACTACACCTCTCTTGTGGTCGGGAACAAGGAGTACCAGTTTGTCAGTTTCATTATCTCTCTTCATGGTGTTGGAGAGTGACGGTTTCTAGCACCCCTGGTCGTGTGCCAGTTTTTATTGTGGTCAGACATATCAAGTAGTCTCGCGCTTTGCACATCTCAAGGGTGGTGTTATCGCTTCCTTAAAGTCCAGGATTGGTTTGGACTGCAGAAAGGTATCGACATCATCATTTTTAAGGCCCTTGAAGCACTTGTGAAGAAGTTGCTGGGTCTGTTGGGGTCTTGTGTCGAGGTCCACAGTCTTCCTCCAGCCTTTCACACGTTTCATTACCTCCCCGAAGATGCGGAGGACATCTGCTTCTACCTCTGGGACCATGCCTTTCCACATCCGTTCCATGGTGACAAAGTCGAGAAATGCCTGGTATGACCCTAGGTATGATCTGATTGTACCTGATCGGAGATTCTCCGTGTTTGGGTCAATCCAGTGGGTCCAGATGATATAGCCTTCGTCCTCTGAGAGGATGTCTATGTCTGGACCCCTGGGTTGAAGATCTTCCAGAATTCTCCTCACATTGTCCGCATTCTGGAGCCCATTCTTCTGTTTCTTTCAGCCGTAGTCTGGCTTGTTCAAATGATGGTAAAAAAGAACAAGCCAGCGGGGACGGTTGCTCTTAGGATTTGGATCGTCGAAGAATGCTTTCCGATCGGGTTAATGACGCTCGTCTTCTTCATCGTCTTCCTCTTTTGAAGGTACATCTGTTGGGATCAGGATGGGGAATGGTGACGGAGGTTGCTCAGGGTCTTCAGCTTGGGATGTGCTTGGGCCAGAGGTAATTTCCATGGGGGCGGTTTCCTCGTCTAAAGTGGAGGAGGTGATGGTCACTGAGGGTTCCGTTCGTTGTTCTCTGCGTTTCCGTTTGCCTTCTCTCATTTCCTTTTTCATCTGCTTTACCTCAGCCTTTCCTTTGTACTCCCTTGCCATAAAGAGATACTTCTCCATTATAAAGCCAGCTTTAATATTGTGGAATATGGAAAGGTAACTTCTTTGTAGATGCATGACTTTTTGGCAGCCCTTTACAGGGCACCATTTCAGCTTCAAGCCTTTCCGCCCTTGCTTGCCTGCTGATTTTCAGCGTGCAGGCCCTGGCCTTTTTCCTTTGTTGACTGCGATGCTCAGGATTGAAACTACCGACTCCGCCTTTGTGACCCTTTCTGGCATGGGTCAAAAGATGCCTCTTGGAATTGGCGTCTTCCTTCTTGCATACGGGGCACATTCTTTTTGTGTGGTGGCTTCTCTTTCTGCCTTTTTCTTTGGGCTCGTCTTCCCCTGCTAATGTGGGCTTCCTCTTGCTTGTGGAGACACTCTGGGCTTTTTCTGTAGGTGGTGGCACAATATCTTCCTGGCTGCCAGAAAGATATTGTGCCACTACATTCTTCTCTCTACCGGTGAATTTTTGGGATTTCTTTTTGGAAGCAGTGGGGGCGGCTTCAGGCGAAGGTACCACAACATCCTCATCCTCATCCTCCTCTTCTTGTTCTTCGGCTTCTGGACTGTAGCTGGGGTCCTTTTCTTCTGCTAAAAACTTCCGCTCACGGTCACTGTACTCTTCCATCACCTGCTTCATTGTTTTCTCATCTATTATAGCTACCGACTGCTCTATCTCCTGGATGAGTGCCACTACAGATTCACAGACATCTGACCCGTAAATCCAAACTCTCAGAGGCTTGGATTGGGGGTGCAATTGCTGCTGAATTAATTCGCACATTGCACCTGTGCAGCAGTTCACTTTTTTTACGCTTTCATCTCCACTGTACCATCCTGTGGTGGTAAGTTTAGCAGCACTTCCAAAGGACCTGAAGGGGGTTTCCATTGAAGGGGTTTGCTTTATACTGATGATCTTGAGGAAAGGTAGTTTTGTCAGGCCCAGGTCGTGCGTGGACATAAGGTCACCCCCTATTGCATTGCGTGTCTGCGGTATGTGCCAGTTAAGTGCCTTGACATGGACTTTTGTCTCTTTCTCCTCTCCAACTTTCAGACAGAAATCGCGAATGGATGTCACTTGGGTCAACATTTCTCGTAAAACTTTGTCAACTGTTATGGTGTAGTGCACCATTGAGTTGAAGATTGCCCGAGATAGATAATACAGAAGTTCCGTCAGGTTCTTGGCAAAATCCACTGTTAACACTCTGTTAACTGTTTGGGCCTCTGTTAACTGTGTGATGTCCTCTAAATCTGGGTAATGTATCGAACCCAACTCCAGCAAGTCCAGCTGTTCTAGTGCCTCGTCATCCAATTCTACTCCTCGACTGGCTAATTTCTTCAGTTGTTCCATTAGGTTTGATCGAAATGAACTAGTTTGGAAGGAAATTCAATTACAATGACATTCCGGGGGGGAAGAGCAATTATGTGTAAGTTCCGCCCAGTCTTGCTGCTATAGATGAACAGTAACCCGTATTTCCTCGTCACCAAATCTCAAGCGAAACCATGAAATCCTCTCGGAGATATAGGGAGTCAAAGTATAGCCTCCAGATGGCGTCACTTTACCAAGTAGGGGACTAAAACTGGCTCCTTGTGACCGCCATATTGGAAAAAAAGTTTGAGCCTGAATAATTCTTAGAGGTTAAAACCATTCTGAGACAAATAATGCAGTCATTTAGGTCTAACCCTAATTAGTTTGGAAGGAAATTCCATTACAATTACATTAAGGGGGGAAGAACAGTTATGTGGTAGTTCCCCCCTAGTCTTGCTGCTTTCAATGAACAGTAACCCTTACTTCCTCGTCACCAAATCTGAAGTGAAACGGTTAAATCCCAACATGATCTCGAGACCGAAATACCTAATAGTGTCAAATAATTTTTTTCCTTTCAATTGACCGTATGTGATAAATCAGTGACCCAAAGAGGAGTTGAAACTGCCTGGGTACTAGTGTTAAAGTGTGGCTACATCGTATTCAATGTGGGGGAAGGAGGCGATAAGACCGAAGGTAATATTAGAGTACTGAACTTTAGTACCTTTCGAGAGAATTCTCTTCTTTTTTTGTCCATTAGAGCTTACATTTTTCACTGGAAACATTTCTAAACCTTTTTTTTCCAGCAACTTACGGCGGAAATCAGCGTAAAAGACGATTGCTTAAGAACACTTGCATGGCTGAACTAATCAGTAGAAGCAAGGAATTTCTGGGTTTAACAAAGAAACCACGCAAACAAGCGCATTATGAATACAGTTCAGACCCTGTAACTGGTCTGCGTAACAATAAAGGCACCTACACTGGTCAGGTTCTGAAAAGAAAGAAAGAATTGTCGATTGATTCTGAAACACTCGAACACGAGGGTATGGTATTTTTAATGTCTATAATAACATGTATTTGTTGCTTATGTCTAGATACCCGGCAGCCGGGAACTGTTTTCAAAAAATAAGATGCCTGGCAGTCAGAAGTCGATATTTATTAGCTCTAAGGGGAAATTTCGCTTGCTAGTTGTGCAATAGAGTTGAATTGTTTTTAACATGCTGACATGACATTTGTTTTTCGTTTGGCTAGTTTTGTAATTTAAGTTAAAAGCCTTCTTTCTTCTCATAAAAATTAGCTGATCACAGACCATTTAAGCCCCTGGCTTTGGCTTTACCTATGTATATTTTCTAATGTATGATGTGTAATAACAAAATAGTAATAGTTGACATTACAGCTGCCCCCGCTCTGTATATGTGTAGCTCTTGGAAATATTCTGATTCATAATGAAGATTTTCACACATATTTCATACAACAGGTGAGATAAATACAGGAAACGCAAGGTTCCATGCCCAGTTTCAGTTCGATTTACACAGCTTTGATAAAAACATTCTCAGTTTCGAGAATAGTCTATTCTAAACCATAAGAAAAGATTTAATTAGAACTCGAATTGTTACATTCAGTTCATTTTTATTTGCCGGAAAGTAAGCCTTAGAAATTAAGAGGACGTTTGATCAATTCACGCTCGCGCATTCTAGTCTTATTTTAAACTTTATAGCGGAAGGACATCTGTGAGCAGAGAATAAGTTAGCACAGAATTTGATTGTTGGCAAATTTCTGTAATCCTCCATCATTATGCTAGTGATAAGCTAGCCGTTGACTCGTCTTGCTTGTTTGAGGCTGAGTCTTATTGCGGTCAAAGAGAATGATAGAAATAAATAAATAACGCTTACATGCATGAGTTATGTCTTGTACTATATGTGGAATTGTGCTTAAAATTGTATAAAATATTTTTAATTTTGTTGTAGGAATAACAGATGAACAGGCAGATCCAAGTTCAACAGCTGACTGTGGCAGTTCAGTGAATGGTTTGTCATGCTGAATATTTTTCTTAACACTATGTCACAATAGTTTGGGCATTGATCAACTGTTAACTGCAATTTTTTATTTTTGCTTCTGTTAATAATGATTTTTTCGTTTATCTTCTCCCTAGTCCTTAACTTTATTAATTCGCAGATTCAAACTCCCTTTCATTTGCTATACAGGTATCTGCTGCCCAACAGTGTTGTGATTTTGGTGCTCCTGATTTAGAATGGGGTATCCATTTTAGAGACTTTTCCAGAAATGGGGTACAATATTTTAAACGCATGAAAACTCCAGTTTGTAAGCAGCCATTTGAAATTATGAAAGGAAAAATTCCCTTTAAAAATACAGTTCAACATGTTTATGAGGAAACTGTTTGTTGTATTGTTAGCATACAAGTGTGGTTTGGGCTCTGAACTTATTAGACCAGGATAGTAAAAGTTGACCGAGTTTTAGCACAGAGTATCAGTTTTAGTAATAGCAATTTTTGTTAAACAGGGTTCAAATTTGGACCCAAAAAATACCCGAGTGCCCCCCTCCCTCCTGGGCTTTTATGTCTGTTTTCCAAGGTGGTTTGAAACGTCCATATGCATAGGTGTTTAACTAATCTCTGTAGCATTTTATTATTTAAAGGAGAAATGAAGGAGATCTTATTGGATGCACAAGAGCTCCTGGTTAAATGGGAGAAAGCTAACCCTCCGAGAAGGTTTTTGAAACTGTTCAATAAACCCGCAGATCGTAAAATACTCCTGCTCGTTCATTAAACATTAATTACTTAAAACACATCACTATTAATTTTTACTACAGTTTTATAATGTAAGTATGGAAATTATTAATGAGGGCAAGGAGGGTGGGTGAGTGCCTCTGCATTAAACTTAATTAATGACCTCATGATCTCCAGTTTTTTGACATAGCAGCCACAAGTGTTACACTATAAAATTTACCTTGCATAAATTTTTGAAACAGCATTAGAGCCATTTCACCTCCTTGTGATCTTTTTACATCCATCTTATTCCCAATGAATGAAACCCCTGCCCCTTCTGTTCCATAGCAAGTCACCATTTCTCCTAGGCCATGCTTGTGATGGATTAGAATAATTACATCACAGGCATGTGCACACTGTAAAATATCAGCCTGTAAAATCAACCAGTGGACATTATATTGCCAGTTTAAAAAAATGATAAAACATTAAAAAAAGATGGTCATTGAAAGGCAAGATTAAACAAAAAACCTTAATATATATTTTGATCCAACAATTTCAGTTAATCCTTCATTAATTTTATTCCACTTAATGTACAAAAAACTGTCACAAGACACAATGTGTAGTATTCACTCTCATCCCAGTTGCCTCGGATGTGTTGAGTTCTGCTGTGTTAGTCACCCCTGACAGTATGCAAATAATTAGAGTTTTGCCTAATAACAACAATAATAAAAAAAAGATGTCTAATTTAGCCTGAGAGAATAACTGACAATTTGCAGCACCAATACTCAACAACCAATAATCAACAACAATGCACTTTACTTACCCCTTATTTTAAAAAATCACTTAATTAATTAATTATTTAAAACAAGGTATATGAAAATCGGCCTAAAAAAAGATTCACTTACTTGCTCTTCCATAAGGCGCTTTTGTTTGGTAATGTTACTTTTTCCTTTCTTTTTCCGTAGCTTTTCCAGGTCTTTTTTGGCCTTCACAAAAATTGTTCTACATTCAGAACACTTGTTCACAGCAGCTCGTTGTTGTTCACCACAGTTAGTACACCTCTGTTTAATTTAACAGCAAAAAAACTTACTGTAAAACATTATGATGATTATTATTAACATTTATATATTACTCTACAAATGTTATCAATATTTTTATTGGTTTACTCCATCTTAAAAACCAATACAACTATATCAACTTAACTTTCAACTACTAATGAGGCAGCTGGCATTTACCTATGCCAACTCAGAATGAAAATTATTTCAGATTGTAACAATTATATAAAATGACAAAAAATAAATGAGGAAGTTATTACAGCTAAAATGTATGTTCAACATCAAAATATCAGGCTTAAGGTGAAGAAAAAATACTTTAGTTTGCATAATCTTAAACAATCTTAATCCTAAAATCGGGCAATTAGAGTTAAACTTGCAACTAAATTATGTAGGTGATGCAGAATGAGTAATTTCTTTCATTAAAATTTAATTTACTTGCCTTGAATCCTAACTTGACTTTTGATGCTACGTTGTCTACAAAATTTGAAAATGAAGGTCTCCATTCAAATATGGAATATTATTGGTAGGTGTACTTTATATACATTTGTGTAAGTAACCCTTAAATTTGCCCTTGCCTTGCCTTAACTCAAGATATGTATGACGATGCTCTGTGCCTTACCAAGTGTTGTAAGATTGTGTCTTGCCAACCTTATTAAATTAAAAGTGCCCTGGTTTATAAGCTCACTGGCTCATAGTACACCAGAATCTATACACTGATTATGATCAAGGAGCTTCTGATATTTTTTTCAATGAAATTTAAATGTCGGCAGGCACTAATAGTCTAAACGTGCCTCCAAGAAAGCATGTTTTCTTGGATTCTTTAACGACTATACTTACCGTGTAATCAATAAGTATAAGCTGTTTTCCTACACTTTCCTCTGAATAATACACAATCTAGCTATTTACCTCCTAAAGTACTCAAAACGGCAGCATACTGTGCAATTGAATGTAGATTCCTTTTCTTAATGGAAACTCGCACGTGGCTAAAGCAGCAATGGCCGCAATACATTTTTGACGAATGCTTCATTCATTTTCCAGTATTATAAAACCTTTTTAAGACTCCTTCAAAAGAAAAAGACCCTCTATAGTCCACGGACTAATAACATATTGCCTTTGCTTTTTAATCAAATGAACCAAAAAATTGGTATTTAGGAAGAACACTCACCAGCCATGCTTGACTAAGTACCCTCGTGCCTAGACCCTAGTCTACTCTTTCTTGTGCATGACACTGATTTATCACGTACAGTAAATTGAAAGGAAAAAATGATTTGACACTATTAGGTATTTCGGTCTCAAGATCATGTTGGACTGGATGAGCACACTGAAATCCGTGGATATCGCAGCCTTCTCTTCATCCGTTACGGGTCTGGCCTGGTCTGTTTTGTTGGATGGGGGATTCGATTGTGCAGTCTTGAGTGCACTTAACGATGATTGCAACCGCTTGAGCAGCAACCTCAGTGAGTTCCTGTCTGAGGTAGAACGTTTTAGCTGTGGTATCTGAGTGGCACATGCTCTCCCTCAGCACCTGCTCATTAACGTTCTCACCCCTGTGCTTCTTCTCGTGGCATTCCGTCACAATCCACTTTTTGATATTGGTTGCTGTTATCCGACGGTCGGGTGGAACCACAGATCTCTGTCAAAACTCTGGTAACCGCCTTGAGATACGCCCTTTCCTGAAAGGCCCATGGTGCAAAACAGGTAGTTGGTATTAGGTGAAAAATGCGGCCTGATCTTTTCGCGTCAAGAGCGATCGGTGCGGGTCCGGAGACACCTCTCTTATGAGCTGGAACTAGCATTACTCGTTTGCCTGATGTGTCCTGCCACATGGACTTGTAAGGATCAACTGTCGCGTTCTCAAGCGCACCAGGGCGCTGACCTGTTTTGATCGTCACCAAGCACAAAAGGAAATCTGTCACCTCACTTGACTCACTAATACTTAGCTCTGCCACGTCTTCTGCTCGTTTAAGCAAGTCTCTTGCAGCTGAAACGGCTTCTGAGTTATTAAATTCCTCCACATCCTTGTTTGTCAAACGCATGTCTGTGTCCTCCAACACCTTTTAGTACTTCTCTGGCCGCTTTTCTAGGTCTACGGTCTTTCACCAACTCTTTAATTTCTTTACGGTGTTTCGGAATATTTTTGCGACGTCAGTGTCCAGCTCTGGAACAATACCTGCCCTCACTCTTTCCTGGGTTACAAAATCAAGAAACATTTCATAAGAACCCAAGTACAATCTTATGGTGCCCGCTCTTAATAGGGACCTTAAGCAGCGACGACGAAGCGGACGACGACGGATTGTACCGCATAGAGACTGGGACACAATAGCTCGTTCACGGCAAGGAAAAGGCGGGAAAATAAAAACTTAAGCTTACGACATGAACGTAAACAAAAACGCTGCAGTTTTTTGGTAAAATGGTTAATTTTCATGAGCTTCAAGAGCTTTTTCTCCTGAGTCATGCTCATGGCATTTTGGATGACGAAGAGCTGCTGATTTTGTACGAGGAGTATTGGCCAAAAAATCCCGACTTTTGCTATGAGAATTACGAAAGGTTTTCTCTTGATGATATGAATGATGCAGAGTGCTTGGCCAAGTTCAGGTTCAGAAAACACGATCTTCCACTTCTCGCCAGGGTCCTTCAAATACCAGACAGTTTTACTTGTTACCAAAGAACCGTAACAAGTGGAATGGAAGGACTTTATGTTCCTCTTAGAAGGTTATCTTATTCCTGCAGATTCAGTGATATTATTCCATGATTCGGCAGACCAGTACCAGTCCTTAGTATGGTCAGCAATCAAGTACTTGACTATATATGTGACATTCATGGCCACAGAATCACTCAGTGGAATCACCAAATTCTGTCTCAGCCCTTGCGGCAACTGTATAGCGACACTATTGCTGCCCAGGGTTCTGCCCTAGACAACTGTTTTGGCTTTGTTGATGTCACTTTTCGTCCAATTTGCAAACCTGGAGAACATCAAAGAGTGGTCTATAACGGGCACAAAAGAGTACATGCTCTGAAATTTCAGTGTGTTGCCCTTCCCAATGGTCTGATAGGTCATTTATATGGACCAGTAGGTATGAAATTGTTACCTTTGATTTCTTCTGCTTTGATGATTAGTTTTAATTTTTTTTTCTAATTTTCAGAAGGAAGAAGACACGATGCAGGCATGCTGGCAGATTCAAGACTCCTTAATGACCTCCAAGCATTTGCAAACTCCCCGTTTGGAAATCCATACTGCATTTATGGTGATCCGGCGTACCCTTTAAGGATACACCTTCAAGCCCCTTTTAGGAATAGAGTCTTAACCCCTCAAATGGTGGATTTCAATCGATCGATGAGTAGTGTCAGAGAATCAGTAGAATGGCTATTTAATGATGTCACAAACTACTTTAAGTTTCTGGACTTTAAAAAAAATTTGAAAATTGGTCTCAGTAGCGTGGGCAAAATGTATGTAGCCAGTGCTCTCCTAAGAAATGCCCTTACATGCCTCTATGGAAATCAGACCTCCAGTTTTTTTTCAACTGGATCCTCCTTCACTTGAAGACTACTTTCCCTAATTACTCCACATCTTTTGATATTACTTTTAAAATTGGGTCATGGCAGCTGGAAGCTGCATATGCTCTCCAGTACCCAGAAACACCACCTGGGATTTGTGTAAGTTGAAAAACTAAGAGGATAATGTGATAAAACAGCCTAAGTATGAAGGAAGCTAAACTGACATTTTCAAAAGGGGAGGGCACAGGGCAAAGACCTGTGAATCAGAAAACCACCCATGGTAAGGGGGAGGGGTGTGAATGATTTTTCCCCTTACTAAAATTATAGCTAGTTGCACTAGCAGCAAAAGATCAGAATAGAAACACAACAACGTGGATGCAAAACAAATATTAATCTGTTCTGTTGTTATGTCACTAAGATTCTAGTTCTACTTAGACTTGAGGCTTGAGGCTTGATTGCTCACAAATTGAGCAATGAATAAAGTTGAATTTGAGAAATCGGTTAATATAAATCTATAAATCTGCAAATGTTTTTGGAGCCTTTGAGATAGGGTTTTGCAGAGTTCTTGCACACGCACATGAAAGTTAGATAATCAAGGAATATTTGGTTAATGAAAGACTGAAAACAGCGATAAACCGATGGGTAAAATCCACTTTTAATTCAATTTACGGAACCTAATGTACAGGCTAACAAAAGATTATAAACCTTACCCTGCAGCGGGAGTTTGACACGCCATCACACCTTCCTAAATAAATGAGAAAACATGGGATGTTTACTTCAATTTAGAACCCATAAACGACATAAACGTTCGCACAAGAAATTTAAATCCATAATTACATGGTTTTTGCAGGATAAAACATGTAAAAGGAGAAGAAATATTAAAAAGAATACTTGCGTACGACACAGAACGTCAAAACAAGCTTTTCCACTTTCTCGACGTTGGGTAGATGACGAGTGATGTAAGCGAGGGCAAAACCTGACATGCGTAGAAACATGTTTTCGTTCAAAATTACTTCCGGTTCGTCCTCGTCGTCGTCTTTCGTCGTCCTTGCTTAAGGTCCCTAATGACTCCATCTTAGGGTCCACCCACTCAGTCCATACTATGTTGCCCTCATCCCCCGACAGCTTATTGTTTATTGTTTTGTTTGCCAAAAAATTGTACAAATCAAATAAAATCTAATTACTTAAACTCTATAATAGTAATTGAATATTTCAAGAGGTTAGTTGGGCAGGAGTATAAACCATGAGATTTATTGTTGGGTAAAGCCAATATTTCTTATTCAACTTCCCTGGCAGTTACAGGCTTAAACATGAAAGAACTCCCTGGAGATTTGGTTTTTTTGAGAAAGTCGCGATGATGGCCAGAAGCAGGTATCTTACTCGCTAGTTTTTCTCCATTCTCGTCCCCAGAGCCCATCGTTTCTTGGTCACGTGGTAGGGAAACAAGGGGCTCTGGACACAGCCGTTACCGGATGTCAGAAAATTTCTGACATCCGGTCGTGCATGTGTAGAAGATAAATATAATACTGCTCATGCTCAGAAGTGATTTTGTCCTCGCGGCTCCCCTGGGGACAGGAACCAGGGATCTCTACAGAGGAAGAGGTTGTTCCGTAAAATGGCTGCCTGCAATGTGGACTTTGATAACGCAGTTAATTACGCTTTAAATTTGCTCAAGTCTAGTGATTTAGTTTTAAAAAGAGAGCAGAAAGAAGCGTTACATGCAGTTTGTGTGGAAAAGCGAGATTGTTTGTGCGTTCTTCCAACGGGATTTGGAAAATCTCTAATTTTTCAGCTCGATCCCTCTACTCTCGACTACCTCACCAAAGTCAACAACAGCTGTGTTTTGGTTGTCTCCCCTTTAAACGCAATAATATCGGATCAAATTGAAAAGCTGCAGTCGCGGGGAATCGGTGTAAAAGTTTTTAAACAGGGATATCAGGGCGTTGTTACCACAATTGATGATGACGTTAAATTCATTTATGGACACGCCAAAGTATTTGCAGAGAACGACTCTGTGAAGGGACTGCTGAGGTCGCCGTTTAAAGACCGAATTAAGACTATCGTGATCGATGAGGCACATTTTATAATACAGTGGTAAGAGGTTTTTTATTTCTTTTCTTTCTTTTTTTTTCAAAGAGTTTCTTGTGATTTTGTGTACATGAAAAAGCGCACATGTAGCTGTTTACCTATACTTTATGTACCCTGTACTGTACGTGTAGAATGAAAACTTGTCTAACAAAACAGGTGTGGCGTTGTTTTCCTTTTTTCAAACTATAAATATCTACATGCTTTGGAAAACATAAATGTTTAATCGCGTTTTACAATTCAAGTGCTAAATAGGTGATCTGAAAATATAACTTTTATAGGTTACATACATTTTCAATAGTCTAAAATACCCAACTACCTCTAGGATTAAGGATAAATACGATAATAAGGATTAAGGATTAATACACAAAGGATATTTAGTACTAACTCACTGCTCTTGTGTGTGTTTTTGTAGCCAATGTAAATGTCAATGTCTCCCTTCACTTTTAGGAAAGATTTTTGACCGGCGTATACCAAACTAAATCTTGTGGGCACTTTTATGCCCCACACACCAATTCTGGCCATGACAGCCACTGCCACAGCACATTACCGGAATGAAATAAAAAGAAGTCTAGGGATGCAGAATGTTTTAAATGTGGAAGCAAACCCAGACAGGGAAAATATATTTTATGAAGTCCATCCACAAGGTAACCGGGGCGATGAGAAATTGATTACAATCATAGAGCCCTTGGCCTTAGAGTTAAAGGAAAAATTACTTGCAATGCCTCTCACCATTGTCTATAGCAATCTTGAAACTTGTGGTGAATGCTATAGCTACTTTGAACAGGAGCTTGGTCCACATCAGTTTTATCCAGCTGGGTCTCCTGCAATTTTTAGTAATCGACTTTTTGCACAATACCATGCCCAGTACCCTGAAGAGTACCGTGATAGTTTAGTTAAGAATTTAGTGTCAGGAACTGCCACTGCACGAGTGCTATTTGTAACTGTTGCATTTGGTGTTGGAATTGATGTTCCAACTGTTGAAAGAGTTATACATATTGGTGTCCCATACACCATGGAATAATTTTTCCAGGAAACTGGACGTGCGGGGAGAAATGGAAGTCAAGCAATTTCAACAGTATATTTTAATTCCTATGACATAAGCAAAGGAAAAAGAGCACTTGAGCTTATTATGCGACAGTATGTTACTGCAAATTCTTGTAGATGAGAGATTATTCTTAGTCATTTTGGTGCTTCAGTAGCAAGTGAATGTTGTGGTCATAAATGCTGTGATAACTGTAAACGTATGTGCAAATGTTCTAATTGTTGCACATAAATTTTAGTGAAGACACTTGATTTGTGCACTCAGTAAGTATCTAAATACATACATATACTCTGTTTTGTGAAGTATTCTGTTATTTATGGATTTTTGTTTTGTTGTTGTTAACATATAACTCAAAACGTAGCATTAACAGCCGGGGTATATAACATTTAAGAATACAAGTCACATATTCACCAAATCTCAGAATGGTGTCTTTCCGTAAATTACTGTTCCTTGAAATTCCAAAGAGAGGAATAACAAAGAGTGCTAAGGTGTTGAGTAATGATCAGTTTCCAGAATTGTATGTGCTGGTAGTTATGAAGAACAGCTACAAATAGGTTTTTGTGTAACACTAGACAAATTTCATTGTAATTAGTTGTCAACTAAGGAATAAGAAGTGTAGTTGAAATAAATCATAATCAGATTGGTTTGACTAAAAAAATGAAATTTGTGATCTAAATTTTTTGTGTTTATCTTTTTGGGTGATGTATTTTGATAACAATTCTTTAAAATAATTTTTAATGATTGCCATTTTCCATCCTTATCTCTTCGCCACTCCCACTATTTCTTGAATAACTGCTAGTCAAGTTAAGTACATTCAGTGTAAATTATAGGCCAAGCCATAACTTATTATCTATGTCTAGTGTTCATACTTCAAGAAAAAAGCTCTCGATTAAATTTTTATGTTCAACCATGATGCCCTAAAAACCACACCCAATTACTGGTAATTTCGTTTCACTTTTAGTATAGGGCCGTTTCACTCGTGACAAGAAGCTATGCAAATTTATTAAAAAAAATAGATTGGAAGATTAAGAAAAAGGGGAATTAGATTAAGAAAAAGTGGTAGCTACCACAGGACTGGTTAAAGACACCAGCATTGCTGCCATTTCATTGTTTTAGGACAAAACTGGCAGACCTGATCGACCTCCTGTGAAAATACTCTCTATTTATGATGGGATGGCAAAGGAATGTTTTTAACTGATTCATGCACAGTGCTCTAAATTATTGCAGTATAGAAACTTAGTATATATTTGCTAAAATGTTAAAGAAACACAGGCAAAGGATGAAGGCAAGCAACGGGAAAGGTCCAAGGTCAGTTCAAAGTATAGGTTCACTGAATTAAAGCTATTATACTGTTCATTATTGCTTTCAACTATTTTGTGTTTCCTTAAAAATGCTGTTAGTGAAAAAGCTTTTTAAATAATTTTTTTGTTTTGTTTTGTTTTGTTTTGTCAGATTAATCATCATCTGTTTCTTTATCTTCTGAGCCAGATTCCTCATTATCCCAGGGTGTGTCGGGGTCCTTGCTCAACTTCTGCTTACTGGTTGTCAACCACTGTTCCGGGATTCTAATATCATCCAGGTCAAAAGGATTTCTTGGCATATGTGGAAACGATGAATGGCATCTACCAGGTACTTCTTGAAAGGGCTTCAGGCCACAAACTAATGCAATCATCTCTTTTTGGTCTTTCTCTGCATTCTGGTAGGTGTGAGCAGTTGATGGCGGATGCACCCCTGTCTTTTCATCAAAATTTTCAATGATTTTCCTTAGACCAGTACTAGCAGAAGTTGACCGTTCTACAGCCTTTAAAGTTTTCTGCACAACCATTCGCTTCAGTAGTTTTTTGTCGAATTGCACAAAATGTTCTTCTTCGAGGTCATTTGCGACGTTGTTGCCTTCACCACCTTTGGACAAACAATTATCAAAAGTGAAGTCAATCAGATTTTCAATTATCAGTTTTATAAGGGTTATCAGCATGGAACATTGCATAGATGGAGCTGCCAAATAATTGAAATTTAAGTGACTGCTGATGTACATGCATGTTTACATATTCATATTATCACGGTTATTATGGTGCATGCCTCATGGCAGAACTGCAGATACCATCCTTTTTTCTAAATTAAATACTCCCCTCGATCCCCTCCTTCTCCAGGGTGGCTTAGAGGATTTATGGTATTGTTATTATTATGAGTGTTCAGTCCATGAGACTGTGTTTCTAATAGTATTATTATTATTATAATTATCATTATTATCATCATAACTGGGTTGCAGCCCTCATAGCTAATTGTGAAAGTTATTATTCAGTATGAGCTACAACCCCGGACAAAACCTGTTGATTGTGAGACAAATCGCGAAAATGCCTGTTTTTTCCTGTCATCCCGGCAAAATCTGAAACCTCTGCCAAATGAATGCCTGATTTCCCCCCTCCCCTTATCCAAAGTTGTTTAGGATAGCATGGCAATTATACACGTTGGTTTTTAGACCAAGACAACTTTGAATAGGGGGTGGGGAGGGGGTTTACTTTTTGTGTTTAGGGGAGACGGGAGTGGGGTGCAAAAGTTAGAAAATGGATGGAATTGTCTCAACAGTTTTGTCCGGGGTTGTAGTTTCTGAAGTTGATAGTGGACCTTATGGTTTCTGTAATATGTGAAGCATGGTACAGAATGTTCCCATGGCAATTTTGCAATTTCATATGTGAAATTATAGATCAACGCTGAAATTGTCACCTATGGTATTAACAACAAAATTCTATACTGATCAGATGATGTTTCAATACCCAGATCGGAGTGGTGGTTCTGATTTGCTGAAGCTAATTTCCCTTTCAGTATGACCATTTTGCTAGCACTACCCAAATCTGGGTATTGAAACATGACCTGTATGGAACTTCACTCTACATTGATATTTATTAAAATTCATTTCACAGGAAAGCTAGTGGTGGCTTTGCAAATTGTTAGCTGTCCTCTCACAGATCCTAATAATAATATGTCTTTCTTCACTCCTAACATCAAGTACCTTTCCAGTTGACAAAACGTCCATGGATGGTTCTTTCAGCCATTTTCTTGGTGAACTGGCACCTTACTTTGCTTATCAGCTGTAGCATCTCAAACGCATATTTCTTACTTCTGGCAGTTGACCTAAACATCAATAAGAGCACTTTGCTGTTGATGATAGCTCTCTACCCATCCCCTTCCTTCTCTGTATCATTCATTTGCAATAGCATCTTTCCCATTTGAATAATCCAAAGAGCATAGTTCTTCAGGTGGTTATCCTTTGGAGGGTTAACAACATTGTTCTGTTCTGCATGAAAAGAAATGATTTTATTAAAAGCTAACAATAAAGATTGTTCATTGCCATTACAAATTTATTCCCTTTTTGTTCAAGATTTAAATTTGGCTATGGAGATTATGGTTACCAGCCTCCCTAATGCAGGGCTTGAAAAAAGTCCTGTTTTGGCAAGGATCCAGACAAGTCATCCTCTAACAAGTAAGCAAGATAAGCAAAAAGTGTCCCAAGCAGAATGTGAGAACTCCTCACCCAAAGGACAAGTAGGGAATTCAAGTTAATTTTTTAGAGTCCTGTTAATGAACATAAAAATGAATAAAGAGCTCTGTTCATCTAGGCTAAAGGCTGAACTTATTACTGGTGATCATGTTTTCCATTTTCAAAGAACGATAAATGGTGATAAAGTCACTAATAAATTAAAATAAGGCAAAATCTGCACATTAAAATAATTAAATTATAAAATTAAGTTTTCTAGTACATTTTTACAAAATATTAACTTTCTTTAGTAAATTTCTAACTGAATGTGTAAAAGCAAAGGCACCTTTTGAATGGTTAGCATTCTGAGCTGTTTCTTCAGATGTCTTGTACAAGGCAACTAAATTTTGTGGCCAAGCTACGGTGTGGCCTTCCATCAGGGGCTGAAGTCTGTTTGCCAACGTGGCACTGTTGTTAAGCAATTTTACAATTTGAACATTGATGTATCCTTTGGTAGCCGTGGAACTTATGCATGTGCCCAGTGCCTCAAACGAATAGCCACTTTCTCTGCTTCCCTTAAGTAGAAACACAATGGATCCTGTAATCATAAAAATAAACCATCTGTTAGCAGTGATAAACCAGTTACAGTGTCGTTTAAATACCATTGTTGGTGAATTTGAAACAAAGTTTTAAGACAGTGCCAAAATGCTTGGGAGTCACATTATACTAAAATATATAGATTTAGCCAGGGCTAAAAGCGAAGCTCCCATTAATAAATTTATAATTTAAATCAAACAATAAACTTGTAATCCACAAATCAGTTAACTTTAAGGGAAAGCTAAGGCTAAGTGATTTTAGAGTAAAAAAAAAAAATCTTACATCGCATTGATAGCCGTATATATACACCCAAAAAATAGCAATTATCTTCGATCACATTTTAGAGCCATAATGGCTCTTGATCACAGTAGATTAGGCCTGGAAAACGAATTTTTGGAAAACAAATCAGGCCGAATTTTTTGCGTTCGACAAGTTTACTTAACAAAATCTTGCCAACAACTCTGGGAGCGTGTAAACCAACATTTCATACTTTTTATACATCACATCTGAAACAGTAATATGAGGCGTTGTTTTTATCATATAGACCTCAGACAAAATGCAGTATTTCACAATTTTTCAAGACAAATTGCACTCATTCAATATTCAGAACCGTACGAAGCACGCGTGGGCTTTTAGCAAAACCGTTCAAAAAATTTCCAAAATCACCTATACGGCCAGCCGGTTCTCACTTTTGACAAGCGCCAAATTTTCAGTGAACATTAAAAGAGTTACGCTTCAACATAATAAAGAATTTACTGTGTTTATTTTTTTATTAAATGGTTTTATAACGATGTGTAATCTTAAAAAGCGTTTGATACGAGCAGCATTTTGAGTACTCCTGCAAGCGTTGTTTATGAACGACTGAAAACGACTAAAAATGCTGAGTCTTTAAGCTTAAGCTTAAAGCTTTTAGCCGGCTTCCTGGTGTTTACTGTTTTCAAAGATGAACTCGAGGCAAGAAAATCGCTCAAAGCTTTCTTTCTACAGCCAAAATTATAACTAAATACTCTTCGGAACGTTTTTTCGTTCCATATGCAGAGAGAAAATATCGACTAAAGGCTTTTTAAAGTTCTGTAAGCTTATATATACTAGATCAGATCATTGTCTCAGATCTTAATACAAACGTGCATAAATTAGCCTCATAAACTGCGCTCGACTTCATGAAATTAGATATAAAAAGACAAACACACTCTGTATACAATAATTACTTAGGCTAACCATTCGAGATGCAGCTCTTGAAAGCTATAAAGTAAGGCCAGAATCGCTTGAGGGACTTTTCAACCCGCATCCAGCAAGGTAAAAACGAAAGCGATGCATCCTAAATTGGATTTCCAACTTTGGCAACCGGCGCATTTCCCAACCAAAAATTCAATAAACAAACCAGCCATGAATCAAAGAAGACTCTTGATAGCAGCTGTATTTCATTTTAAGCATCCAGTGGAAAAAGACAGTAAAAAACATCACAAGTTGACAAAATACTCTGTCAGCTTCAGCTGTCAAACTGAAAGTAAACAAGGTTCAAGATGCTGTATAAATCAGTTTCTGCATGAACTCACCTGTCAAATTTTGACCAATCAGAAAATAAAAATTGGACGGTTGTAGAGCGTGATCATTGCGTGACTATGGTGAGAAAAGTGAAAAGCCTCTGTCTTCCCTGCTTGTATTTTTAAATGACTGGCTGAATTTTCGAGTTCGAGATCAGTTTGAAATCAAAATGTTAATAGCGCGGGGCCATAGTGACATTAACACAACACTTTCTGTCATCACGTCATTATTTTGCTGCCGTTCTCTTTGCCTTTGTATTTCTCTTTCGCGTTGCCTTTGTCTGTTCATTCTAGCTCTGTCTCGTTCTGCTTGCCGGCGTTTTTCACTATAATTTTCTCTCCTTCTCGCTCTGACTCTTTCTACTTGCTTTCTATTTTTTCAAAACCAGTTGCGCGATATATAACTGCGCGATGTTGCGCCATGCGATTTCCCACCAAAAAATCTCTACTTTCCCCTACCCCAAGAGTCCATGCGGACTACTTTCCTCTACCCGGAAAGTCCGTATGGACGGACGTACGCTACGTCATAACCAAATTTTCTGGGATGAATAGTTTACCAAATTTTCTTACCCATGGTGCTCCGCTGCGCGCGCGGGAGCTCCGCTTTGATAGTTGCGGTCAGCTGCATTTATATTTATTAATACTTATTTTAGTTTAGAAATGACTGTACCAACAGAAAATATTGTAGAGTTACACTTTGTAGTGTTATAAGTTAAACTGCTGTGCGTGCTGGTTATGCTATTTTGACTTCATCACGAAAAATAATTCTTGAAAATACAATGAAAATAATCAAAGTTCATGTCAGCTACAGTGAAAGTAATTATGTATAAAGTTGATGCAATACAGGCTGCAGACCATGTAGAGACAGAATTGTCATGATCAACGCGGGGTTCTTGTTGCTGCTCCCTTTGCCTGTCAATCGCTTCCTTTGCATCTGGCAGCTTCAAGCAGAAGCTGTCAACAAAAGAACCAATGACATAATTGAGGTAAATCAGCTTCTCCTGTTTGCCCACAGTTTCCATTTGAAGGAAGTGTGCTCACGTTTGTTGGGCTGGAGTGGATTTCTGCCATCCCAGACCAGTGCATAAATGCTGCAACAAGGTATGCATTAAATACCTGAAGGAACAAGTCCTGGGCTGGTGCAAAGCCATCTTTAACTCTGCTCTTCACATTGTTACGGCCAAGGAGATTTCTATAATAAAATAGGGTGCCAATATCCCGACCAGAATCTGTTTTGGATAGGTGTTCCCATGCAACCTATTGAAAAATATAAAAATATTATTAATCTGTATAAATACAACCAAGTACACCCAATAGACTGAAAGATATAACCAACCTAAATTTGATAGTCTTTCCCTTCAGTTTAACAATAATTATGAATTTATTTACTTACACAGAATTGTTAGAAACAACTGCAGCAAAATTTCTGCATAGCATCCCCATGAGTACATTTGAAATAGATGTATATCAGACAATAATGGTTAGATTAATACTTGATAAAGGATGATGATGATAGCAGTACAAAGTAAATTCAGTTGAAATTATTATTATTATTATTTTGAGGTATTAACCAGAAAACAAAGAAACATACTGTTGTGTGCATTCAAAATGCACCTGCAAAATGAAGAATGTAATAGTTTAAACCCTGATAATGATAATAATAATATGATAGTGATAATTATGATGATAATAATTTGCTGTACTTGATTTTTGTTCCTTTTTGTGCCTACATTACAAAACTTATGTGTACTTTGGAACCTCAAAGTACATATAAGTGTTCTTTGAAATGCAGGCATGAATGTTGAATACTTTGAGTACAATTGAGTTGCTTTTCATACTGTTACTAAACAGAACTCGATTAAGTCCTCCCTTTATTTTGGAATATTGACTCTGTTTAAATAGCAGAACTTCAGTGGCTAGTAAGTTTAAGTATTATAGTACACGCGTGTAGCTAGAATTATAACACATCATTTATGACACAAACAAATCTTACACCAAGAAATGCTTGTTTGGCGTGCCAGTACTCAGCCACTTCACACATGTTATCGAATCTCTCAGATGACTTGTCGCACCCTTTCCTGAGCTTCTTTGCTCCAGTGACCCTCTCTCGGCCCAAGAGATCTCCTCCAATAGGTAACTGAATGAGATATTCCTCAGTGTTGTCTTGTTCATCAGTGCCATCTTGGTTGGGATTATTGGCTGCTGCAATCTCTTGTAAGAAGTTCTGTAGCCATTCCAGGTATTTTATAACATCAGCATGTTTGTTTTGGTTAAAGGGAACCACTGGAAGGCCAATCACAACTGATTTTCTCTGTTGAGTGCTTATGCTTGATATGGCCTAATCATTCCTTGAGGGGCTCCAACCTGGGGATGAATTTCACCAGGACTCTGGTTGCAAGGATTGTGTAATCAGATCTTAATTTGGCCCTCTCATTGTCATTCATGACGTAACCAAAGATATCGAATTCACTGAGATCACCAATAGGCTTGCTGTTGTCTAAATCACTACTGTCTATGCGGTCAAATGTGATGAACTGGGATATCCAATGGTTATCAGAGTTTTGGTGGTCTTTTGTGAGTTGCCCAGGTGTAATACGGAAATCAAAATTGTCATAAACAACTCTGGGTTGCTGGCCCTTACTCATCAGGTCTCCAATTATTCCTCCAAGATTTCCACCAACATCCTCCATAATTTGCAGCCAGCTATCACTGGACTGGCAGATGCCCAGTTTATTTAGTCTCTGGAAAGTCTAGAAAAAGAAAGTGTTAGCAAAGATTTAATATCTTACAAAATCCAAAAAGTTGTCAATGTTCCTAATGGTCACAAATGCATAGATGACCCTAATGCATGGCTAATACACTGCCTAATTCACATAAGATATCTGGCTGATGCATAGATTTTGTACTTTATTCATCCATAGTTTAAATTTTACTTTCCTTGTTTTTGGGTATGTAAATGGGTAATGCATGATTAGGTTTTTGCAACAAAGGACAATAAAATCTGAAACAAGGATTATACTGATCTAATCACATAACTAGTGTATGTCATATATAATGTACCTCAAACTAGTGCATATCATGAAATGCTTCCATTTTGACGAAAACAAGTTTATCCTTATGATAATATTCACAAATTAAAATCCCTCATCCCGTTCTATTCCCTTCCCCCCTTCTCCCATCCTTCCTCTAAGTGATTCACATGTCATTTCGTAAAATTGCTCGTGACCATTTTTGGGAATGCCCACCAAATCCTTGCAAACTCTTTTTTTCTGTCACTATGGACCTCAGCACCAGGCTGAAAAATGAAGTAAGAGAACTGCAAACTATCTTAGTTTAAAATTACTAATTTCAACTACCACTTTACTACATCCTCCAAGTCCCAGAACCGTGGAGACCAATTTCTGGACAATACTCAGTTCGCCATTTCTTGTGTTTAGAAGAGTACTGACAGCGGTACACAAGGGGGT